GTTTGCTGCCACGTCAGCATTTTTGTTTGTTTAAATAAATAATATTTATTTTACCCTTCCATGTTCTCTGTGATTCACCTGCACCCTAGGTTTGCCTCCACACACCATTATAACAGAATCCTCGGCCTGAACTATGAACCCAGCAGGCTGCCCATTCCTGACTGTGCTTGTCCCAGAGGACGAGTGGTGACTCTGCTGGTTAACACGCCACTACGTGGATATGGTGGCCACCTCCTGCAACCTAGAAATGAGGTGGTTGGCCACGGATGACATGTTGGGAGAGTTTTTTCGCCTGCCCGGACATTGTGATTCCCCGGGGATGTCGGAGATTTAGTCTGAGGTTTTCGAGGAGAGACGCATGTTGCATGCTCTTTTCCCCCATCATCCTGCTCCAACATCCAGCAAGCTCAGCACTTCTGAGTCATCTGAAGAATCAGCTCCTCATGCTGTTCCTCTCCACATCTTGTCTCATCACCGTCGAAAGAGGGGCCGACATCGGACCCAAGCCTGGTCCACTGACCCTCCTCCTGTGCCACCTGCTCCTTCCTGTGTTCCAATAGGGGGCAATTGCGACAGTCCACCTGCTTCGGGTATCTCTGAGCAGGCCCTGGAGGATGCCTTTTATCTTTTCCTTGAGAGGGTCCAGAAGAACGCCCCTCAAAGTACTTTTTGTTACTGAGAGGGTCCCAGATGACACCTCTCATGTTTCCTCTGAGAGGGACACCTCTCACTGCTCATCCGCGCCTTCAGAGTTTGCCACAGAGGGTCCCACATTGGTGGAGGGTTCCTTGTCTGCTGTGGATTCCACATCTATTGAGGGCTCCACGTCTGAGGCAAGTCCCAAGTGTTCACCAGAGGTCTCCACGCCATCTCCACCAGAGGTCTCCACACCATCTCCACCAGAGTTTTCCATACTGTCTCCACCAGAGGTCTCCACACTGTCTCCACCAGAGGCCTCCACACCATCTCCACCAGAGGTCTCCATACTGTTTCCACCAGCGGTCTCCACGCCATCTCCACCAGAGCTCTCCACGCTGTCTGCACCAAAGGTCTTCACGTGTTCCCACAAGGTCGTTGAGTCTCCTGAGATCCCCGAGTCTCCTGAGGTCCCGAAGTCTCCTGAGGTATCCAAGTTTCCTGAGGTCCCAGAGTCTCCTGTGGGTCATGAGTCTCCTGTGAGTCCTGAGTCTCTTGCGAGTTCTGAGTGCCCTGTGGTCCCTGGGCCTCCTGCGTCTTCGGGAGAGGGTTCCACACCTTCTGAGCGTTCCACACCTCCTGAGGGTTCCATGCCTCCTGAGTCTCTTATGCCTCCAAGATTGGCCGCCACACCTGCTTTGGTCCCTGAGGTGGTCTAGCCTACTACAGTCTCCGAGGCGGCTACGCCTTCCACTGCAGCCCCTGAAGTGGCTTCGCCCCCAGCTGTAATCTTTGAAGTGGGCATGCCCCCAACTGCAGTCTTTGAAGTGGTTACGCCCCCAGCTGCAGTCCTTGAAGTGACTATGTACCCAGCTGCAACCCCTGAAGTGGCTACGCGCCCAGCTGCAGTCCTTGAAGTGGCTACACCCCCAGCTACAGTCCCTGAAGTGGCTACACCCCCAGATGCAGTGCCTGAAGTGGATATGCCCTCAGCTGCAATTCCTGAAGAGGCTTCACTCCCAGTTGCAGTCCCAGAGGTAGCCACACCCACTGAAGTTCTGCCTACTGTAGCCAACGAGGTCCCTATGCTTCCTGCAGCCAACAAGGTGCCTATGCTTCCTGCAGCCAACGAGGCCCCTATGCCTACTGCAGCTAATGAGGTCCATACGCCTATTGTAGCCAACAAGGTCCCTACGCCTAATGCAGCCAACGAGGTCCCTATGCCTTCTGCATCTACTGAGTTCCCCATGCCAGCTACAGTCTCCACGTTCACTTAACCACTTGCTCTTGCCAAGATTGGATGCTTCTTCCCTCCCCTCCATCTCTGCTTTACTTTGCTGCTCTGTCTGTCTGTGAAACTGCTTCTGAGACTCTCTTGCATATCTTCCGAACCATAATTATAGACCTGTTTTGATCAGTTGGTCCCTCAACTCAATTTACAACATTTCTTCGAAGAGAAGACAGGCTTTAGGCGAGCCGATTTGCCCTGTTGGCATGCACGCAGCTGGATATCTCATCGACTTGGAAGACTTGATGATGTGTCTATCTCTGCTGCCATTTGTGGATTTTAAGGACGCATATTTAATTGGATTTACGATAACTAGTTCCTACTTTTTGGATTCGGCTGGTTGCTGGTTTTATCTACAATCAAGGAAGTTGTCGGCAGCTAATTTTGGACCCGATCACACTGCTTGCCTTCATGATGGCTTGGTTTGTGTCTCAAGCACCCGGACTCAAATGCTTTGGGCTGAATGGATCAAATCTTGGGGATTTTACTCAGTCATGTTCCATCAGTGTGGCCATGTATTTTGGACATTTCGGAACCGAGTCGACCAACACAGACTCAAGATAGATGTCATTAAGTTTTGCCTGTCCCCAAAACAACTGTGTATTTATCTGAATTTGGCTCCCTTGGCTGGCCTTGAAGGTCATCTTATCTGAATTAGCCTGGAGAACATGTGATCTGATGCTCACCACCCCCTCCCTGAGGAATTTCCAACTGATAACCAGATGAAACTAGCTGAATAAACTTTGTGTCATCATTTCAGGACTCTTGGATTCTCATAGTCGTTATTCTTGGCCATTCCTCGACATACCTGGAGAATGTTTATGGATCTCACCGGAGGACATTGGCTGATTATTCCATCTTTATCAGAACACTTACAATGCCCTCGAGAGCATCTATGATCATGCTCACCACTCTCATCGTCCCCCTCTGCAGAATGTCTATGTCACTATGTGCTCGTTTGTGCGAGGTGTTTTTTAATATCAGAGTTTTTTCTTCTTAGACAGGAAAAAAAGTCTGATAGGAATTTATTCGCCTCCAATTCCTACATGTGTCCATTTTATCACTTTTATTGTCTGTCCAAACAGGTCTCACTTGTAAATGAGTCTTTGAGGCTCAATGTGACTTATCTGTTTAAATAAAGATTGAATGAATGAATGAAACATTCTCTACGTCAGCTGTATCCCCTGAGGTCCCTACGACAGCTGTAACCCCTGTGGCCCCTACTATAGCTGCAACCATCAAGGTCCCTACGTATACTGCAGTCCCAGAAATCCCTACAATAGCTGCAGCCCTTAAGATCTTAATGACAGCTGCAGCCCTGAGGTCTCAACATCGCTTCCTGTGGGGTCCACACCGCCTGATGTGGCTACACCTCTTCCGACCTCTGGGGTCTACTCAGTGTCATCTGCAGCAGCCCTTGTCTCCACAACAGCTGCAATCTCCACAGTCTCCTCAACAGCAACAGTGCCTGCTCCAGGTTATGGAAGGTTGCCTGGTCACCCGTCTGGACTCGGTCCCGGTGCTGGACGACCTCCCGGACTCCTGCCTGAACTACTCCCATGGTGCTGGACGGCCTCCCGGCTGCCCACCTGAACTATGCTCCGGCGATGGAAAGTTCCCTGGTTGTCCACCTTGAATGTTTTTGCTCTATCTCCCTGTTGTGTTCCTTGTGTCTTGTTCCCAAACTTTGTCCTGTAGGGTTTGGTTTCCCTATTTCTTTTCACTCATGTTCCATCTCGTGCCCTCCATCCTCTCGGTTCCCCCCTCCCCCCACCCATGTTGTGTGCGTGTGTGTGTGTGTGGGGGGGGGGGGGTCTTGGGACGTCATGGGATGTCCTTGGGGAGGGAGTATTGTGAGGATTATGTTTCTCTGTGTCA